TGTTTTCTGACTACTGATTCTTCTTCACTATTCCCAACTTTTGCATTCCAGTCACCCATTATTATCAATGCGTCTTGATTGCATGTTCGATCTATCTCTGACTGTAAAAGTTGGTAGAAATCATCTATTTCTTCTTCTTTGGCTCTGGTTGTTGGTGCATATATCTGAATGATAGTGGTATTTACTGGGCTATATAAAATTTATATATATAAAATTTATATACATATATAAAATTTATATAACATATATTTACATAAATAAATATAAATTATATAACATATATAATATATATACAAAATTCATATAATATGTAACTTTTTTATCCTGACTTTTTCCACTTATAATTGTATTAAATTTTGATCTTTTGTTATTCCTGAAATATTTTGAAATGTTCTTTTGAAATATCAGATCAAAGATTATAATTCTTTTTACTAGAAAGTGTGAAATTAAAATTATTTCTAGTCATGATATTAATAATTGTACCTAAATATAGGGTTAATATTATGAACAAATGATTGCTCAAAATAGATAACATTTACATTCATGTATGCCAAATTCTCTATTGCTACCCATAAACTATCTTTCTAAAGAAGTATATCTTGTATAAGTGTAATAAAGTGAGGCTAAAGGTCATGTTCACTAGATAGAAAACATACAGCACAGCCTTCACCCTATATGGCAGGCAATTCCTTCACCTCTGGGATCCCACCAGCACTCACCACCTCTGCAGGCCTGGATGATGATGACCTTAGGCTTGTCTCTCAAAGAGGGGCAATGGAGAGTGTTGAAAAGTTCAAATATAGTGTTGTAAAGCAATACATCAGGCTTGTCATCACTGTGTTCAATCCCACAGATTTTATCCAGGAGGCCATGAGACATGAACACTAAAAATGTGCTGTCAGAGGACTTGTGGTCATCGTGGGCAGCAAACTGCACTAATTTTGACTTCATTTCCTGGAAAACAATAAACCAAAAATCGAAGACCATAATTTCTATCCAGTTCTACTAGCAGTGCTCAGTTAATAGAAAAAATATGTGAAAAGCTTTTGGTACTTTTCAGGGTGCAATATCTAGTGAGTACTCAGAAGTGGCAATTTTAATCGAAACTGTGTTTTGTTAACATCATGGAGGAACGCTCATCTACAAGTCTTTGTGTTTAGCAAATAAAATGGTTTCATGTGTATATTGTAGGCTTTTAATGAGTCTTCCAATTTTGTTGCCTTGTTCTCCCTCACATATTCTTTCTTCTCAAATTATTTGGTGGTCGTTGTTGTTGTTGTTATGTGCCATCAAGTCTTTTGTGACTCACAGCGACCCTATGTACAAGAGCTCTAAATACCGGTCTATTGTGTGCCAACCTAGCCATCCCAAACGCACTGATTCCCACTGCTCCACAGAATCGATCCATCTCATCGAAGGTCTTCCTCTCCTTTGCTGCCCCTCCACTCTGCCAAACATGATGTTCCTCTCCAAGGACCAGTCCTTCCTTGCAACATGCCCAAAGTATGTCAGATGAAGCTTCAGAATCCTTGACTCCAAGGAGCATTCCGGCTTCACTTTCTCCAGGACAAATCTGTTTGTTTTCCCAGCAGTCCATAGTATATTCAGCACTCTTCTCCAGCACCACAGCTCAAAGGCATCAATTCTCTTTCTATCATCCCTATTCACTAGTGTATATAATAAATAAATACAAGGAAAAGTACTTTCTGGATCATTCGTTTGTTCTATTTCTGTGATTACTTCTGTATATAGAGGACTAAGAACAAACAAATCTGTCTCAGAAGAACGTCACAACTAGAATGTCACTTGGAAGAAAAAACAAGTATGGACATTATCAGGAATTACTAATCCTTAGAGAAAAACACCATACTTAAAGAAGAGTACCATTTATAATAATCATGATAAGAAGATTATAAGCATTAAGCTGCTAACCAAAAGGTCAAGAGTTTGAAATCTCATAGTCAACATACAAAGGACAGAGGAGACAGTCAATTCCTGTGATTTATAGGCCTTTGAAAACCTCTAGAGCATTTTAAAACTGTCCTAAGGAGCACTGTGACTGAGATACACACAAATACACACTAGTACACATGCAGACATGCAGACATAAACAGATATATATATATACACACACACACAAACACACACATGTATTTTATATGTGTGTGAATGCATTGTGTATATGACATAAAAATGATTTGCACTCTGTGAAGCTATACATTGCTTGTCACCAACGACAATATGCAAGAAAAAGACATATTTCTTTCTTTTATAAAGATATCACCCCAGAAAATCCTATAGAGTTATCCTTCTCTAAAAGAAAGGAGCTCTGGTGGCTTGGGGGTAAGGAATTGCACTATCACCCTAAAGGCATGTGGTTCAAATCCACCAGTTGCTCCACAGGAGAAAAGTAGGCAGTCTCCTCCTGTTGTAATTCATTGCCTCTGAAAACCTAGTGAAAGGTCAGCTATAGGTCAGTTTTTACTTGATCATGTATTGACAGCAACGACTCCATAAAGACACTGGGAATCTTGTTGAGAAGGAAGTGCCTTGCTGGCAACAGATTTGGAGTGTGTGTGTGGGGTGTGTGTGTGTGAAAGGAGCAATATATGGAGTAATAGATTCTAGTTATTTGGATTTTTCATTTTAAACTTGTAAAAAAGGCCTCCACAAGTCCAATGAAATGATCAAATGATAAATTTAATCCATCTTTAGAAGGTTGAGATCATGCAGGTAAAAGCTCTTACCTTGGCTGTGAGGTTCTCTTTCACTTCCACTCTGTAGTCCAGGCCCTCAAGCAGTTCTGTCATCTGTTTGATGTCATGGTTAGCCCCATTGCGCTTTTTTAAACTTGTAAACTCTGTGTTACAGATGATGAGGGCCAAGCGAGTGCGTCCTCTCTTCTCCTTTATGCGATAGATCTTCAGAACAAAGTAAATTAGATGAACGGCATTTATGTCAATTTCCTACACTTTTAAAGCGTAACCACAGTTGCACTATTTTTTTATTAAATTTTATTAATTTTAATGAACATTTACAGAGATTTGGGGCTTCCATTCATTCATTGTTGCATTATTTTCTCTACCATCCCCCCCAGTTCGTTCCTCTTCCCCCCCTTGAAAGTCTGTTTAATTGTCCCATTGCCACAGTGCTTGTTAAAGCCAGTTCTGATTAATCTCCTTTGTCAGTGTGTCCTCTGCCATTCTCTATCACTTCTCCCTGATAGAGACTTCATCCTGATTCATAAGGAAAAGGGGATGGTGCATTCTCTTAGCTACTTCCTGCTGAAAAGGAATGCTGTAGGTTTCAGGGTGAAGATCTCTCACTACTCTAAAGAGCCCCTTTGGCAATAGGAAACACGTAGACTGTTGTGGAGATTGATTTTGGAATTTAGGTGCACTGTTATTGGAAGCAATTTGCTCTAGTTACTTATATCAGAAATATTTCCTTATTCGTTCCTACTAGTGGTTGGCAGAAATTTCTAAAAGAAAGCAAAAGTGGGGGAAATGGAGTCTTACCTGAGGTCTAACTAAAAGAGTAAAAGTCTACAATGGTAAACAAAAATTGATATAGAAATTTATTCTATTATTTTGTGCAGGAGACTAGAGACTCTTTTCCTCTATTCTCCCTTCAATTCAATCAAACTCTGGGATATTCAAAATCCATCTCAAAATATGCCAACTCTAGAGACATTTTCCAGCAATTTCATTTTATAATGATCAGAACAGAAACCTTTATGCCTATTTTTGATACTTCTTACCACTAGAGAGAATAGGTGATGGAGAATTATTATTGCATCTCTATTTTTTTCCTTCTCCTTTCATGCAATTTACAGCCTCTGAAAATTCTTTGGAATGTTAGCTTTGTGTTGGTTCCAACTTAACAGCAAACAACAGCAATATTTTTTCCATAACCAAATTAAAATACCAACCTGTAATAATAATAATGATAATTATTATCATCATTATTATTAAGCTTCACAATGCTTAGGAAAAAATACTCTCACTCTCAATATTTCTGTATAGTTTATGTCTAGGGAGCATTTCCACTTCATTTTCTACCTAATTTAATTTCTTAGTCATATCACCTCTCCAGATCTTTCTTTTTCTGTTCTCATCAGGAAATCGTCATGAGGACAAGTCTTGAGTGTGCCTGTAGGCTCTGTAGATTCTGACTCACTTGGCATAATGTGAGTTGCTGGAAGATCTGTAAGAGACATGGCATAATAAATGTGTGCTCTCTGGTTTACAAACTTTCTTATGGGGCCCCATACCTTATATCATCCTAGATAGTAGCACAAAAAAGGACACTCACTCACTTAGAAAACAAATTTTAAAAAATTGGTAAAAACATCTCAGTATTTAAGAATTATAATTGTTGTTTTTTCCAGCAACTTATTAACAAAACAAAAAAATTATAACCAGGCAAGAAAAGATAATTTGTTGTTGGGAGCATTATCTGGTTATGAAATTCACCCAAGGTGCAACAATGCATTCATGTGACTGTGTGAAAAAGACAGGTAAGGGATTACATAATGCTCTATTGTTAGAAACTCTCAAGCCTGAGCAAGCTCATGTACAAAAGGAAATATCCTGCCATATCTTGCACTCTGACTAAATTCTAAACATAAAATAAAATAATAATATTAAGACTTGAAAAACATTTATAAAAAATAGGAGTAGAAAAAAAGAAAGAGTACTGTGGTTCTAACATGTTTCAAACTGCCTTCATGAACCACTAGGGCCTAGGTCAATAATCAAAATAAGAGCTTTTGTTTTATACCTTTTTGGGAAAAATAAGACCACTTTCTTGATTATTTCTGAACAACAGAATCACTATCCTCAAATAATAAGTTGCTTCAAACTTAGGGTGTGTGGTATGAGTAAGTATAAGTGACAGATAAGGATGAATAGTTGAGGAACCCACAGTATGACAAGGCAGCGGGTAATTAGATGCAAGGTTGGGAAATGCTGAGTCATCTGTTCTCCAACAAGAAAACAGAAGATAGTTGAGTGCTAACCCATGTAGACAAGTTAAGACTTCCCCCATACAGAAGTGAAGACTCTTACCTGAGGAAAATCCCAACTTGCTGGCAAGGGTGGAGTCTCTCTCACAGATATGAGCGATCATTATTTGGCTGGCATGGGGACCTTTGCGAATCACAAAGTCTATCAAATCACGAGCCTTGTCGATAGTTGTCTTATTTTTATGTTTCACTATTTCCATCTCCTCTTCATTTAGCACTTTTTCACTTAATAGGTCATCTAGTAAGTTATTAAGTGTGTATTCTGACACTGACTGAACAAATTGTTTTCTTTCTTCTTTTAGTTTTTTATCTGAAACAAAACAGTGCCACATTAAGAAGTCTCACTTAAGTTATTTCAATAAATACTCCCCATTTTCACTGTCCAAGTGTCCTATCAAATAACCATTTTCTTTTAAATTTCCTTTCATTCTTCTAAACCCACAGACACTCCGTCCAGGATTCTTAGCCAAGTCAAAACAATTCATCCCCTCGCTCTACTTTTGTGAGTTCCCGGCAAGCACCAGGAAGCTCCAACTGGGCTATCATTTTGATTGACATGACCCTAAAAATCAGAATGAATAATGTTCAGATAGATTTTTTTTAATATTTCTCTTAAATTTAGTGACAACCACCCATGATGAGAGTAGTGAGTATATTCTGACTCACAGGGTTTTTTTTCCTTTCTTCTTCTTTATTTTTTTTTTTACTCTTGACAAGAGAACTACAAAAAATAACCACAGAAAGGAAGGTCACACTCCTCCATGTGGTTCTTTTTCCTCTGAAATGCCAAGAAAATCCAGCTGAGCTAATTTTCCTGAGCCCCATAGTTCAATCCACAGGAAGCCTGGGATATAGAGCCGAAAGAATACAGACCAGGAAGAACTCCTTTCTTCTATCTCCGGACATTGTTAACACAAACAGTTCAGAGTACAATAACAACTTCTAACATCTCTCCTGAAGACAAAGCTGGACATTAGAAAAGACTTACCATCCATGTCCTTTCTGGTTTACTTCTTAGAAGGTAAAAAATCCTGAGGGAGAAATACTGAATGTGTTCAGGAATTTCCTGTTGAGAGAGCGCATGAGCATGACTTAGGAAACTATTATTGTATTACGCATGTGGATGCCTATCTATTCATCATACTATTTTTTAATGAGACTGTGTTTCGTTCTCCAAGTTCCTTTTTGTAAAAGAATGATATACTCAAAACAACCACTGAACTCAGTATTTTTAGATTTAACAATTAAAATTGCAGAACTATTGGTAAAACAATAAATATTTGAGATACATTTATATGGAAATCCACTTGTTCTTTAACTGAAATTCAGATGTAACCTGCTGTTCTGTATTTTATCTGCCAATCTTATTAGGGCCTGAAAAAAATGAATATTGTAGACATTGTAAGTCATTTACTTGTATCTTTCACCTCTACCTTCGTGTTGTTGTTGTTGTGAGTCAGCTGCGACTTATAGGGACCCTTTGTAAATCAGCTCTGAAGCCTGCCCTGTCCTGAGCCAGTTTCACTGACTCCAACACCCTTATCCACATTGCCCTAATTACTGTATCAATTCAATCTCATCTGGGGTCTTTCTTTCCAGCACTGTTCCTCCACTCTTCTGAGCCTGATGTCCTTCTCCAAGGACATATCCTTCCTGGATAAGTGCTCAAAGTATTTGAAATCAGAGCTTCAAAATCCTTGCATCTAAGGAGAAACTTGGTTTTACCCTCTCTAAGACAGACCTATTTATTTTCTTGGTGGCCCATGGTAAGTTCAAGACTTCTCCAGCACCACAACTCAAACGCATCAATTCTTCTTAAGTGCCCGTCAACAAATGAATAGATAGAGAAGTTGTGGTTTATTCACATAGTGGAATACTACACTGCATTGAAAAATAAGGAAATCATGCAATATTATTCAAAATGGGTGACTTTGGAGGACATTATGCTGAGTTAAATATCTCAGTCACAAAAAGACAAATACTGCATGGTGCCACTGTTGTAAAACAGGACTGACCTCAGGGTTGAGGGGGAGACTGAGAAAGACAGGCTCAATAATGTATACTGAATTGAATCAGATGAGGGAGAAAACTGTTTAAAAGGGATACGTGATTAGGCATTTTTGTCATTACAGGAGTCCAGAGTGAAGGCTGCATAGTGGAGTGGACCTGGGGGAGGGATTGTAAAACAATGAAAGAATTTTTCTTTTACTTTTCCAAGAGGG